TGATGACTCCTAACTTGTGTTCCAGTGGGTGGTGGGAGTCAAAACGCAAATATTGGTCTGTATGGGTGGGTTTGCGATACACGTCAGTTTATAACCGTCCTCCATCCGAAACTGAGGCCTCATAGTACAGGAATGCCAACCTGCCATCTTTTACATCCTCTCGTGTAAACTTTATATATTTATCCACAGAGTTGATGTGATCAGTGAATTGTTGGACTTCCTGGGATTTAATTTTATCCCAGGTGTCGTCAACATATCTGAACCAATGGCTCAGTGGTGTCCCTGTAAAGAACATCAGAGCTCTCTTTTCCACCTCCTCCATGTACAGGTTTGCAACAATAGGGGATATCGGGGAGCACACCCATGTTTCTGCCCATAGTATTGCCCCCATATGTGAAATAGGTTTATTCCAGGCACAGTTTCAGAAGTTGACACAGTTGTTCTGTGGAAAGAGTGGTTCTGCTGCTAAGAGTGGTGTCTGATTTTAACCTTACACAGACCACATCCACCGCCTTATCAACAGGAATGCATGTAAAGAGTGATGTGACATCTGTAGAGGTTTTGTTTTCACGCACATGTGTTTTTTCCTCATGAGTCTGTTTGCAGTAAATTGGCTGGGCGGAGTTTTTGGATTGACTCACCTGTTGGCAGTTTCCTGATGATCCTCCACTGGTATTTAAGCTGCCCTCAGAGTTCCATCTGATGCTGGATTATTCATTCATTTTGGTACTGTGTATGACAGCCAGCAAAACTCTTTAGTCATGGTTTGTGTAACCAACCCTCGTGTACCTTGTACTCTCATGTTTACAGAACTTGTGTGCCTGAATACTTACTTGATGAACCTTCCTGGACTCCTGAGAAACTCCATGCTCGTCCTCCGCCCTGCCTCTCTCCAATGAATGAAACCAACCTGCAAACACGAAAGTCACATGCAAGGAACTGAACCCTCAAATGGAAACTTAACTGTGAAACCATCCCCTGGATCCTCCTCTCTGAGCCAACTTCTCAAACTGTGAGAACAAACATTAATTAATCATCTTCCCTCCTGGACTTTCAGAAAACTAAAAACCTGTTTTCCTTTACAGGTAAATACCCAGCACCTGACTGTAAATAAAATCCACTTTTTATTACTGTGGTCTTCCCGATTCTGTTCATTACAAGTGTTGTGGTTCATGTGGGTTCTTTAAGTAAACTAAAACCCAACAGTATCAAAGGAGACCATAGTCTCCATGATGACATCCCTCACCTTGTTCACAAAATCCATGGTGTTCTGCATGTGATGATCTGAAATGCCAACTAATGGACCAAGTACTGTCACTAGATATTTGGAAACATTGCAAGTGACAAGAGTTAATCATGCTAACAATAGGTCTTACCAGTACATCCTGTTTCTGAATTTTGGGTAAAGTAAACCATACAGACTAGGAGTGGCCTCACCTGGGTACAGAATGTGGTTAATAGCCTTCTCCTGCTCTAACTTTTTCAGGCACTATCAAGTTCTTGTATCCACTTCCTAGATCTCATTCCAGTGGCTCGTATGTGGTTGTGTCACTAAGGAGTGTTATAACCTTGAATAAACACGGCAGGAGCAGTGATTAAAAAAAAATCACCAGTGGTCCCAGGCTAGAGAGGAACTGTTCAGGGCTGAAACGCAGAAGTTTCAGGAGTGATCTGTGACAAAAGGACAAAAAACCAGCTGTGTTTTATGTTTTGGAAACAAACATGGACAAAAAGACAGGAGACAGAACAGGAAGTGGCAGAMCTGAATGAGCTGAAGTTCTTGAATGGAGAAAATTACAGTAGGTACATCCATGATCATTTCAAGGGCCCTGGGCAAAAAGTACCAGGTGAGCCCCAGCCTGAATGGCCTAGTAAAATAATTTGTCATTTTAATTTTGCTAATGTTTTCAAATGCAAACATTTTACAAACAACCAATAAATGAAGTGCAGCACATTAATTTTCAAATCCACCATAAACCAAAGTACATTATAAAACAGAGTTTAGCAAAAGCTACAACAAAGTCTTCCATGTCCAAAGACCTGCACATTCAGCTTTGTCAATGTAAGAGCCAGTCCTGAGTCTCTCCTGGACCACAGTGGACCTTGTGGGTTTATCATCTCTCCATCCATTTTATTTGACTTCTTGGTTACAGCGTACAGTATATCTACAGATCCAGCTTCTGTCCTGAGTGACTTTTAATGTGGCAGCACTTTAATGCTGCTGCGTCATTCATCGCGCTTCATTATAACACATCAGCCTTCTCATCAAATATTCATTTCAGGGTCTGATTGTTGAACTGCAGGCAGGCAAGTTTAGTATTTGGACTCTTCTACTGCAAAAGTATGCTGATTTACCATTGATTTGCTCAAACATGCACCCCCATACCATCAGAGAAGCAAGTTTTGAACTGTACACTGACAACAGACTGGATGGTCCTTCTCTTTTTTAGGGAAGACGTGGATTTTAAAATTTTTATTTGTCTGACCACAGACAAATTCATGCAAGGTCCCTTTTTACTTTGTCCATATTAAATKAGATTTAACCCTGACAAGCAGCAGCATTTCTGAATAATGTTAACATGTGGTTTCTTGTTAACATGATAGAGCTTTAATCTGCATCATTTCCCCCCCCCCCCAAACACCTCATGGTGACACCTGTGTGTGAACCTATCACGTTCTTCCACACCAAACTCATTAAGCCATGTCTACATATTGTTCTGTTCACTGAGGCACAGTTATGTCTGAATTAAACTTAAAAATCTTCCACAGAAAATGCAAAAATGACACCATATGACTGAAATTAATCTCTCGTGTACARAATGTCACAAAATAACCTCACAGAACTGCAGAAGAACCACAAAATTCACTTACAAATTGAGTTTTTTTCCCTGCTCCTGATGTGAGGACATCACATCCCTTTACGTAAACTATGTGAGCCTAGTAGAGATTTCATAATCCATCCATGCTGCAGACATTTTAATTTGTCAAATAAAAAAGAACATAATACCATGAAATTCAGTGAGCACACACAATACAAGAGATCTGGATTAAGCTTTTATAAATTTAGTGTTTCCACAAGTCATATTGTGCTCAGTGGAAATGGGTTAGTGGTTGTTTCTTCCTCCTGTGATTGTATTAAATGACTGATAGGTGGTCAGCTGATCWGTTCAATGTGGCAAGCCATTTGTGCATTTAATCAATATCCATTTGATGTCAAACAACATTTTTGCCCAGTATTTTGCAACTACACTGAACTGATGCACAATTGGATTCACCAATTTATCATTTTGGTGCATTAGTTCAGCAAAAACTAGTAGCACTGTTTTTATT